GTTTTCCAAATTGGTAACTAGTTTAATTGAATTTTGGAATCCAGAGGCATGTTTAGAGTTACAACAAATCAAAGATTTACTTCAACACAGATACAAATGTTTTGAACCTGGATTTAAGAAATGGTACTACTGGTTAGCTCCAAGCTGCTTTGCCATATTTTTTTGTAACTTGTAGCCATTTTTGCCTGTAAAGTCATTACCATGTAGAATTCAAGGTACTCTTTGACACTGGTAATGAGACATTGGTAGAGAAATTTTGCAACAAAAGTTGTGACCAGCAGAGAAATAGATGTTTTTTCAATGATTTATTTTTATTATTGATTAACTGTTTTTTTGTTTTTTTTTTACATTTTCATAACTTGTCAGGACTCTGCTCCTAGTAGTGCAATGACCATTCAGCAGTTATCGTTGTCTTTTTGGTATTCTCTAATGTGCTTTACATGGGCTCTAACCAACCAGATGAACAGTTGGTACAGAAATGAATGATTTTTCCATGGAGATAATAATCAGAGTTATGTCATGCTGCCATCTGACAGGAGATTTGTCAAAATCTGCAAGTACTTGGTGCTGGACAGTCTGTCAGCTGATTAGTGTTTCTCAGGTTTCATTTTAGAGGACAAGAAAGAAAAAAAAAACCTTGACATGTGAAGATGAGAGGAAGGGACTTTCTTTACATGTAGCTGCATCGTATTGTGTGAACAGCAGCAGCTCCAGGAGCACTTCAGTGTCCACAGACCAAGGTTGTCTGACCGCACCAATACTTCCTGTATTCTATATGCCTATATTACATTCCATTATTCTGAGGAACTTTCAAGGTTTTTAAGTCGACTCCTGGCTCTCAGGTTTCCCACATCTACTTCAGTTTATTGAATTACATCCTCTCGTCAGTGAATTCAAAGACTATACTTGAAAGAAGGACATAAATCATCGTCTATACTGAGTTCCTGCCCTAAAAAAGACATTTGTTTTTGCTATTAAGATTATTGATTGTTGTTGCTCAACCAAGAAAAACAGAACATGTTCCGTCCCTTGAGTGTTGTTCACTCCTCCTCCCCCACCCTCTCCCCCTCTCCCCCCTGTCTCTGCAGTAACAGGTTGTGTTTTGTTTCTCTCTGTTGCTTCCTTGTCAGACAGTGTCTGTTTTTGTGAGTTCTAAAGTCTAAAGTTCAGCCTCAGACAACACGGGAGGAGCCTGACATCAGTCACCCGTTACATTTCACAACACACACACACACACACGAAAACACAAAATACACCAAGTCAAACCAGAGCCTTTGGGATTGTTGTCCCCCCCACGGAGTGGAACATTTTTATAATGGGTGACTAAAATGATGAATGGTGGTACAATAATGTGATGAGGCTGGAGATTGGATGATGTAACTGGGGAGGAGTTTATTACTGATGCCTCTCCTGTGGCCTGAGAGCAAGTCCAAAGGCTGGTTCACGGGCCAGTGGAGGCACTAGGAGAAGTTCAATGGGTCACCAACCAGTTTGAAAAATCTTCTGTGACAAATTTTCACAGTAGCATTTTATAGTCATTTTCCATGGGCGTTGTTTGCGTCACTTAAGGTTGATGGGAATTTTGGATATAGTACAGTACTGTTTAGTAAATGTGCTCAAACTTTTGGCTAAGTTTTTTTCAGAATTAATGGAGGTGCTTTTGGCTAATGTATACCTGTATATCTGATTTAGTATAGCATTTAAACTGCAACAACAGCAGACAACATTTTTTGTGTGTTTCTGTAGTTGGAAGTAAATCCTGTCTCTAATATGAGTTTGGAATTAAAATCATCATTCCCAGCCGCAGGGGCCACAGTCTTTGTCCTCCTAAGACCAGTCCTCACCCTGGATGAATGGGGCTGGTTGCATCAGGTATGGCCTCCGGCACAAACACCTGTGACAAATCATACATATGTGGATTATCTGTGCAGTGAGAAAGGAATGAGGAAACGTGCTGAAAAAGCCCATCCATTGTTTATTAGAGACACAAGAGTCACGACGTTATTGTGTGAACCTCCTAAAGAACACTAGGGAAATTTCTAGTAGCTTGAGGGACGTTCTGTTCACTTGAGACATCCCTGTGGGACTATTTATGTTCACCGTGTGGGATTTTCACTGTAACCTTCATCTGTCATCGTAGTAATCTCTGCATTCGTACCATTGTATGTGGGACCAGCCAAATGAATAGCTGTGACCACAGTGGAAGTTGAATGTTGGAGAGATGGAGAGTTCATATACAAACTGGGAAAGTGACAGGTTTGTCCTCCAGCATCAGGTTTGTTGTTGGGAGGTTGTCAAGTACCAGTTACATCAACAACTTCAGGTCATTGTGGAAAGTTTTGCAGTCTGGTGTTTGCATGAACTGTGTAGCCAGTGACACAGTCAAATTCCTGGAATTAATAATTGTTTCAGTGTGTTCCTGCACTGGCGTGGTGTTCTCTCATGGCTTTTGTTGCATCACTTCAGACCGCTGTGTGGTGTAGAAGGTAGGAGCACATCCACAGACCTAGTTGCTACGGTAGATAATCTGCGATTGTGAATCGGTGTACGTTGTTCTGACATGGCCTTCCCAGAACAACCCTTCCAACTGGAGCAGATTTGGGATTGTTACACCGGGTGTTCCCAACCACTGGGTCGGGGACCAGTCCTGGGCTGTTGATTGTTACCACATAAGGCTGCACTGTTTTTCATTTTGAGGAACGATTGCCTCGATGCGCTTCTCTTCACAGTTTTTTTTTTCCCAGGAACAAATGTTGGTGCTTTAAAAAGGAGGAAATGATGAGACAGCAAAAAGTGTCAGCAAAGAGGAAGCTGCATATATGTGTTATAATGAAAATACATATGATGTGCTGTGTTGAGTTTTGTACTGTGAGTGGCCTCCTCTCTCTCTCTCACACACACACTCCACCTGCAGGGCCCCATGAAACTATAGTGCAGAAATGGTTGGGCACCAATGCCTGAATTTAAGTGTTCTTGTTTAATAACATCATCTCTGATCACTTAAATACATAACCTGTTCCAGCAGGCATTTTCAATGGCTAATTGAGGCAGGATATGAAATTAAATGTGAAGAGGTGGCAGTAATGCATTTACTGTCCAAGGAAAAAGTCAGAGAGCATCACTGTTAGCTTTGCTGTTTGAGTCAATGCAGTTGAGTGGCACTTTACAACTCTCAGCACCGGTGTGCAGTGGTTTTCCTGTATTTACAGTTTAGGCTTACCAACACTTGGGGCAGTATAATTTACTAGTCTCGTTTCAACAGGTGAATTATTGTGCACAAAAACTGCAAGAAAAGTTCTTTACTGACATAGATCATAAAAAGAAAGAAAGACCTCCATCAGACATGATGTGACTAAGATTCTAAATATTTCTAAATATTTTTTTGGAGGACTCTTTGATGAGTGCTGCCGTTGTGTGCGCCCCCCTCTGTCCAGACCTAGTCCTAATTAGCCTCCGGGAAATTCGACTTTGACTCTCTTCTACTGGAACTTCTGTTTTTTTCTTTAAATGACCACAATAACAAAATGTAAAAACATATTTTTCAGAAAAACATCATCACCAGCTGCTGCCATGAACCCGCTCATTCAACCATCTCCTTCCCCATTGGACAGTCTAAGCCCCTCCCATCCACACAGCCAGAGAATACAGTTCAGTTCAAGCGTGTACAATAACCGAGCCACCTTTCCATCCAGCATGGACAACCTTATTAATCTAGTCGCTCTCTCCCTTTCGGTCCCTTTTGTTCCATTCTCTTGTCTCCATCCAACCATTTCAGCGTCCTTTCACAGACATGTATTATCTGCTGTGAGCCAGAGTGAATATTAAGGACAGCAGTTGGGTTCGACCAACACTCCTCTACTGTAAATAGCCATTTTTTCTCCTCCCGTGTCTTTATCATCTCCAGCTCTCCCAGCCTTCATCAGCTATGCAGATGAGTCGTGCCTCCTTTACCTTAATTAGAGCTCCCAGGGGAGCGACTGTGGTCGCTCAGCGGTATCAGCGTCAGCCTCACGTACCACAGAGACACCTTTCATCAAGTAAGAGAACACCAGGAGGGAGAATTGACATGGGTACAGCAGCTCGGGCGCTGTACGGAGGAGAATTTAAAAGCACTCATTAAGAGGAAGTGTTGCCAGCAGGGGATTCAAGGTTGATCACTTAAAACAGCAGGCAGAAGAGCAGCATTTTCTTACTAGAGTTTTTACTAGAACGGAATTTAAGATGTTGTACAAATGGTCAGAGCACACAGAGCTTTGGTTTAATAATAGTAACCAATATAATACTGCATATGTGTAGAAGTCTGTAAAAAAAACAAATTGATTGTTTCTTTTTCTTTGGGGGGGCTGTTTGTTTTACATGACATTGTATTATTAATCTTGTAAAACATCTCATTAAAAGATCCATCTGACATTATTAAAAAAATTACACTACATAAGTTAAAAAATACAGTGCAGCTAATGCCATAATTAAGGCTTTAGCTGCGTTAAATAATTTTTAAAAAAATAATTAGATTAAATCTTTGGAGAATGAAGCCCACTGTATGTCCAGGAATTTTGCCATACGTCCACTTTCTAATTTGTTTACATTCTAATTTTGATATTTAAAATTACATTTCTATATTATATTTTTGCCTCATTTCATTTTTGAATGTTTTTCACTCTAGAGTCTAAGCTGGAAAAATCAAAATCAAAATTGATTTAATCATTAACCCATTTGTCCACACCTTGATCTCCTGTCTCTGTTTACAGGGAGGTGCTCCGGTGCTCACTCTCACCCTGAGCCGCGGCTCACTGCTGGACTCCTGCAGGAAGGAGGCGGAGGAGAAGAAGCCTGGGTGCGGACACGTCGGAAACCTCCCCGGTGGGGCCCCCCGTGTAATTCGATGCACGCTGTTAAAGCTTAGAGTATATTGTCTTGCCCCTTTTGCTTACGAAGCCTCCACCCACCGGCCCACCCTACATTTAGTGGATCATGTGACTCAGGGTAAGTCATTTGCAAGTACAACAGTTCTCTGTGCGCTCCCATTCATTTCCTGAGAACTGCCTGAGCTGAGCAGCAGCAGCTGAGAGGCAGAGGGGAGGGAGCTGATCTCTCTCTCTCTCTCACACACACTCACATTTACACACACACACACCTACACAAACACACACCACACACATACAGTACATACTCTCAGAGTGAGAGGAGAGAAGAGACAGGGAGAGGAGACAGAGAGGGAAACACTGTCCTGCTCTCCACCGGCTCTGCAGCTTCTGACAAGGTCTGTGCAACATTTTTTTTCATCCTTTTCTCTTCCTCTCCTTTTTGCTTCCTCTACAGCTGCTTTATTCCTGTCAGTTTCTTTGCTGCTTGTGTGTTTCTGTGCGTCCTGCTCAGCTGTCATTGCTCTGTCAAAGCAGATGACAACTCAGATCATGCATCGGCATTGTGTCTGCTGTCTGTCACTAGAAGGAAGAGGGAAAAAAATTAGAGGCTGCACGTAGAAGTGTGTTCCAACACACAGCCCGTGGACTGTGAATTCATATAAGCTGTCACCACAAGAGTGACACCAGTGATGAGAGCCACTGGACTGTCAGCACCATCCTTACTTTTCTTTTTTTCTATTTTCACAGTCTTCTTATTTCTGTGTAGAACTTTAAACCGTAGCATCTTATCAGGAGGAGAGCTCTGAGTGTGGAACTTGTGGAGTCAGACTTTTCATTGGAATAAAAAAGTTTGCTGATTGTCAGAGTTTGGTGACTTCTCTGAACAGTTGTCTCAGAGGTATATGTAAGAGAGAGACCGGACTGTTAGCAATGGGTTAAACATTAGGAGGCTCGAGTAGCGCAACATGGACACTAGGGGGGAGGTGTGTGTGTGTATGTGTGTGTGTCTGTCTCACTCTTTCTCTGAGTGTGTGTGGGAGTGTTGCAGGGGTGGTGTCTTGGATGTCAACGACAGCAGCGGCTCTCACTTCCCAGAGTAATAGTCATTGGTATTGATGGGTGGCTGTCAGAGAGGCAGGGGGCCACCCGGCTTGGGGGGGGGGGGGGGGGGGGGGGGGGGGGGGGGGGGGGGGGGGGGGGGGGGGGGGGGGGGAGAGAGGGAGAGAGTGGCCGGGGGCTGGCCCTTGGCTGTTATTTTCAATTACAGGGGACCGGGGCGAGGGCTGACAGCAAAGGCATTTGTACATCCAGTAAAGGGGGTGGAGGAGGAGGAGGAGGAGGAGGAAGAGAGTGGCAAGAGGACAGAAAAAAAAAGGGAGAGAGGGAGAGAAAGGTGGGAGGGGTGGATGAGACTCTGGCCCCTGCTCTTGGGTTTGATGTGGAAACTGAGCACTGACCTCTGTGACTTTACCCCGGTGTTAAGGAGAGGCCCCTGCTTTGGCTTCAGCAGTGTGACAGCCTGAGGCTGTGTGTTTATGGCCTGTCTCACTGTGGTCAGAAACCTCCGCTCCAACCTCCTCAGAGCTGCTTTTAACATTTTTAATTTGCATTCACTTCCAGGTCAATAACTTTACAATACACAACATTTGGATTTGTCCTGATGCCAATCAGTTTCACTTCATGGGCTGTGCACCACACCTGGACACAGGTGTTCCTAGACAAACAAGAATCAGAAAGCAGAGTTGTCTGTTATGATGAGATTTTTTTTTCTTCTAACATCTAATATAATCCACAAAAACTCCCTGATTATTGCCTCTGTTTCAGATACAGATGGAGAAAACCAATTCTATTTGCATGGAATGATTAGAAAGTGCATGTAATTGGCAATAATTTCTTGTAGGAGAAATGTGACGTTCACTGACATCACAGTGCTGCATAACGGCAGTGATTGTTGTTGTTGTATTTAATATCAAAGTTGAAAAAAAACTGAGTTAGTTTTTACCAAGTTCTGTTGGGTCTTTTAAGGGTTGATATTCATGTGAAAGAAGTACAAATGTGTATTGAAGTAGGATTATTATCCACAAAAACTAGTTGAAGGGGTGGTGGGCTTACATGTGTCAAGACGAGCCCCCCTGCTGCTGACAGAAGTTCAGTGAATGAGATTAGTAAATCCATTAACAAAATAACCTTTTCCTTGTACATACAATGATGGTATTACAGTACCATCACATATGTAAATAAAAAATACTACTACAGAGAACAGCGGTCTTTTAGTACCAGGTCCTTTGGTTCTTGTTTACAATAGTGGCTTGCACTTCCTCTGTGGTGAATGTACTGTGGTCTAGGAAGGATTGTAGGCAGACCATGGACCACTTCATTTTTTGCTGTGCACGTCATTAGATTTGTAATTAATCTTGTACCATAAACTCGCCCCTGCGCTATAGTTAACACAGGCTTTTCATCTGCCGTCGTCACTAATGTAGATGTTTAAAGTCAGTGATGTAAAGAACCAAACACAACAATAACTCTGCAGTTTATTTTAGGAGCGTTGTTGCGTTTTTAACTTCAGTTTTTGAACTTCAGACTCTTTCAGCTGATCTCACTATGATGAATCATCGTTGTGACTGTGAGCACAGCTCAGCTGTGAAACACACAACAATACTAACAGTCACTGTGTGACATAGCCTGAGGACAAAGCCAGCACTGCAACTTTACCAATTAAGTCAATATTTTTACATGTAACGTGGTTTGACAAAAAAAGAATAAACTTTAAACCATGTTCTTAGATAAAACGCTAGATATTATTGGCTACAAGCTAATTGTCAATACATGTCTAAAAATAAGCCAAAACATATAAATCAATCACAGGTGAGAAAGTATTGAAGAGAAACTAGTATAGCTGACAATAAAAGTACTAAAGTATTTTGTCTTTTTTTCTTGTATAGACTGAAGTACATAGTGACACGTTCAAAAAAGTAAACAAAGTGAAGTTCATAGTCCAAGGCCGTTACCCTTTAGACAAGACTGAACCAAAAGATTTGGATCGACAATAGGATTTACAGTATGGCTGAATTTCTTTTTAAAATTAGCTTAGAAGTATTTTATATTTCTTTTATTAGTTGTTTACTCAAGTACACTAATGACAGTTTGCTTATTCCTTCATATTATGTGCGTGGACATAGCATTGGTGAATGTTGCAATACAGTTTTTATATGAAATAAACCTTTAAGGAAGAATGTATACACATTAGCCCTGCAGTCATATAGTGTAGCAGCTCATTAGCACCTGCTTCAACACTGCTTAAACTGTATTGATTTTGAGCCCAAATGCTGTTATCTCAAAAGTTAGCATGCATCTCTTTTAAAAATGTAAATACTGTGAAGCAGACCCCAAGTACAAAATGTTCACTCTGCTAAGGTCGCTAATGTTAAACTGTCCTGAACTGGAGTTTATTCTAATGGATGATAACCTTTAATATCATGGTCTGTGGATGGTTGCAGTGTTTTAACAGTTTCAGAATTAATTGTTAAATTCATAGAAAAAAAATGTAGTAACTTTACTGTATTACACTGGTACTAAAATAAGAGAAGCTGTTGTTCAGTTTTTTTTCTCCAGCAACACCATTTTTCATACTAGCATGAGGAATGGAAGGTAAAATGTATTAAAGTGTCTCTCAACATTCTGAACAACTGAACATTTACAACCTGGTCTTCTATTCCTTAGACCAGGTGACACGACAACATCATTTTATATACCCCAAACGACCGAAAGGGAAACTCTCTATCTAATAGCGACGTGTCTTTTATTGTCCTTTAGACTGTTTACATCTTTGGCAGCTGCTGGAACAGTGACCTCTTTACCTCTTAAGGATGTGTGAGCTCAGCTGTTTAGTTGAACATACAGGGCCCAGTCTTTGTTGTGAACACGCCTGTAAACTGGTCAAAGTCCACAGTCTGAGAACAGAGTTCTTTAAGGGCAGACATGTTCAAACATGACTTTAAGAAAGAAAAAAAAAGTGAAGGTTCTGGTCAAGGCTGCCTTCCAGGGTTCGCCATCACATGAAATGCAGTGTGAGATTGTCAGGTTTAACAAGACGAAGAATGTCCAGAAGATTTATACCAGGACATGCAGGAAGCAGGGCAGGAATCCTGCGAGGTTTTTTTTCTGCTCCTCTTCTGTCATATAAGGTCACCTGAACATTAAACAGAGAATTGACAGGACAGAATCTTACTGTGTTTTTGTTGGAGATCAGTGTGTCTCAGACAATATGCTAGGAATTATTGCCTAAAAATGCCAAAACGATTCACTTGATGAAATGACATATCAATAACCTACTGTTTTATGATGAGCAGTACGGCCCCAGTTCCTTTCACAGGCTGAGAGCAGCCGCTCTGCTCCCTCCAATGGCTCGACCCCCATTCCCTCTGACATGGTCCAAGAGCTTATGATAGCGATCAATGCAGGTGATGGGAGTGGGAGTATTGCGAGGGGGTGGGGGGTGGACTCAATTAAAAAGCCAGTCACCGATGGATAGATGCTATCTGTCCATCATCACTGCTCTGCCCATCACCTTTAATTGCTCAAAGGACTTTCAGCCCCCACCTACACCACCTCCTCCTCCAAAGGCATCATCTGTCTGCCACACATCACAAGACACACACACACACACACACACACACACACGTACGTACGCACACACAGTGTTGACAGATTGAATCCGTCAAGAGAAGTGTCCCCGTGTCCCCTGTACGTATGCTGTGACAAAATGTAAACTCACTCTCTCTTATTCGGGGGGATGTGAAATTCCTCATATTACCCCTAATCAGCTGGGTTAACTGCTGCCATATTGACCGACTGCTGTAGCATTGATCCGGGCCGGTGTTGTGGAGTGTATCGGTATTGATTGCAGATAGGCTGCAAAGCATGGTGGGTCTGGATTCACTGGGGTCCCCTCGGTGCAAGTCAAGGAAAATTAAAGTCAGTTTGGTGCAGTGTTGGGTTTGGCCCTGAGGTTATGACCTCTGACCTCTCACCGGTTTGGGGCAGTTTGTGGCCCACATTTTCGATCCCAATATCATTTTATCTTTAGGTAGTGACATGATCACACATCTCGACTTGGAATATGACGATCACCAGTTGGTAATGGTTATTGATCACAGCTTAATATATGACATTTGTTTTGGTGTCATTTCATCAGTGACAGGTTGAGCTCTTGAAACATCCAACTTTGGTTCAGGACAGAAGAGTGGACATTGAACTGCAGACTTTCAGTACTGGAAAATGTACTCTTGGTACTGGTAGTTATCTAGAACTTTCTCTCTCTCTCTCTCTCTCTCTCTCTCTTTCTGTAAGTGTGTGTAGAAAGACAGATATGTGTTGGTGATATCACAGAAACAAACACCCTGTGCTGTTCAACATGCCAAGCGATGACGAAATGTTCTTTCCCCTTTTTCTTTTCCCCTTGTGGATCTAACCTTTGACCCTGGTGTCCAGCCCACGTTTGTTTACCAAAGTTGAGTAAAGAGTGAAAATGGGGTAATGCTACATGTGTGTTTTGTGATTAGAAAGAGAGAGAGATTTATTGTAACGTGTTGTGCAACGTCAGGCTAATAAAGCTTCTTAGACTAGTCATGGAGGGACACAGAGGGGGAGCGGGGCAATTTTGATTGCGTTAAAGTACCTGGTGGTAACTGATCGTCCAGTGATGCCTAAGACTTTTATTAGTAAGATTAACACGAAAACTGGTCTAAATCAGGGTTGCCCAAAATAAATACAAAGGTATATTAGCTTCATTGAGAAACAACAACAAGTGCTCAGAGTCGTGAGAAGCAACATGTGTCCAAAAATGGCTGAAGTTTAAAAAAAACTACATACAAATAGTTAACCAAAGTACAAGAAAAGAAGCCAAAAGATGTCCAAAATCAGGCAAATCAGGCCAAAGTATAAACAAATTAGCTAAAAGATAGCAAACAGTCAAAAATATGAAAAAAACAACAACTATACAAGCAATATTAAAATATATCAAAAGTACTAGGAAACAAAAACAGTGAAGTTTGCGAAGACAAACTGAATGCCAAACTAGCTGAAACTAAACCAAGACGTCAATAGTAAGACCACAATTAGCTAAATGTTAGCAACACCGGTATGGATTTATTTCCCAGAGCCAGAGTCTGGTTATACGTTGTTCTCAAACGGCTTGAACTGCTGCTGTAACATGAACTTTGTCAAACACTGTTGGTTATTTCACATTTTCTTCAAAAATCTATGGTTAAATAAGGTTTGCAGACACTTTAAAAAAAAAAAAAAAAAATAAAAACAGTAAGCCAACACAAATCATCAGCATTAGAAAACAGTTCCTGCTCCTCCCTGATCAGTGTGTTCTGAAACATGTTGTCCGTATGACACAATCCCCAGACCCAAACAGTCAGTACTTACTGGAAGTGAGTCACACAGCAGAGCTTTGCCCCAGACTCCAATTTAAGACTGTTTGACATGTTTCCGTATCTCTGATGGAAATGTAAGTCAATCTGCTTTCAAGTTTCCTCTTTCAAAGCTGTTGTTGTTGTTTTAGCCAAATATGGGTATTTTAAAAGAGGTAGAAAAGAGAAGGGAAGGAAATGATGATACAGACGACCACTTGTTGAGTTGGTTTTTTTTTTTTTTTTGGACTGTTCCTGAGCTTGAACTAGAGGAAGGACTTTCTCTTTGTCTCCCCAACCTCAGCACAAATGACTCCAACAGACCTGCACACGGATGCAACATGGATTTCTGTGAACTTTTGTTTCCAGTAGGGTCAACTGTGAGGAGAGGGAATTATGCAAACAACATGTGGAATCCATTTGGGGTGCCTGTGGCATTCCATGGGCTCCTTTGGCTTTGGCGCAGCCCAATGTTGGTTAATGCAGCTCTGTGTGCCATCAAGACTCTGGTCCATTAGCAGTTTCACCCAGGTATCGGCACCGACGTGACACAGATGCAGGTGTAAACACGGCCTTTCACCTGAGTGGAGCAGAAGAAGAAAACAGGTCAAACTGAGTGGAATAAAACAAAAGTCACTGAACGAAAATAACTGCGCACTCACATTTGATGTAATGAGTGTCAGTCAGTGTGTAGGAATGTTTTGGTTGGGTCCAGTGTTGTCTATTTCCATATGCCGGCTCCCTCTCACAGTGAGTTTTGGTTGTGTCAGCACAAAGTGGGGCTGGAGAGAGAAGGCACTTCGTGATGTTGCATCAGGACGACTATTAATAAGACTGAGGCAAATGCATGTGTGTATGCTGCGGTGTGTATGTGCCTGAACGCATGGAACCGTTTTATTACGAAAGATTATGAGTGAAGAACAAAGAGCAAATGAAGGAAATGGGGAAAGAAAGCGTGTGTTTGAAGGTTCAAGGTGACGTATAGGAAATGACTCATTGTTTTTCGTGTGTGTGTGTGTGTGTGTGTATTTCACAGAAAGGCAACTAAAAGAGGAACTCTGATTTTTAACTCATCTGTCTAGTGCGTGGTACTGTGTGCCTCATCATCTGTAATAGTAGCCATGCCAAAATTAAACATGTTCATTTCAATCAGATTATTCACTGAAAAATAAGGAAATCCAAAGTTTACTCCCAAAACCAGATATCAGGGTAAAAATAGAAACTTTTTTTCAAATGTAGTACAAATGTAGTCATAAAAAGTAAAAAAGAAATAAAGCTCAAATGCTTAAGAGATTCCATTTAGCCCAGATGACTAAAAGTTAGCTGAAATACACTTCTAACAGCTATGATTTAGGGTCAACTAAATGCACAAACATGAAGAGGAGAGGTAACAGTTCTCCAAACAATAAACAATCAATTTGTCTGTAGCTGCAAACTAGGTTAAAAAAAAAAACAGCCGACAAATACACTACTTTAACACAGTATCAGCATAATACTAGGCAAAATGAAATGAAACTAATAGGCATTAGACGGAAAAAGCTAAAGGCTAGCTAAGTGATTAGTAGCTGAAGTCCAGCTAAATCAGTAGCTGAGGAAAAACTAAGATGAACAAAGATTTATCTAAAGAGGGAAGCCTTTAAATGACTGAGTCTGAACATAAAAAAAACCAAAATGAAAGTTGTCGCTAAAAGTAATCCCAAATATATGTGCTGAATTGCCTGATTACAAGTAATCTGCCCGAGGTCTACATTTGGTCCTCAGTCCAGACGATGGAGACACTGAAGCAAGACATGTAGGTCGATGTACATTTAGAAGAGAGGCTATTGTGAGTAGTATGTACAGGGGGCATATGTTGGGGGAAGGGTCGCACACACACACACACGTTACAAGAATACACACATGTATAAACAGAAACAATAAGAGCCTGTGGGGATAAAAGGCTGGAGCCTCCACTGAAAGAAACCCCCATTAGGGCAGAAGTGTACTGTCAGCCCCCGGGGAGGGGAGGAAGAACGAGAGGAGAGGAGAGTGTGTGGGTGGTTGGTGATGATAGTGGTGATGGAGCAGCAGAGAATGCAGGTTATTGTGAGGATGCTGTTCTAATGCATCCACCTTCATCTTAGGGCGGTGGATGAGAACGACCTCTGTGTCCATTAGAACCTCTGCAGCAGCAGAGTTTAAACGCAGTTTGACAGAATTTGGAGTGAACGAGAGTACGTGTGATACACAAACCACCAAGTTCAGCACAATTATACCCAAAATACTTCAACAAAATAATGTTAAAAATAAAATAATAGAGACTTGATATGCATATATTTATTTCTTAGCCACAAAATATATTAAAAATAAAAAAAAGTCTGGTTTGAAAAAAGTTGTTAAAATAATAAAATTGAAATGAAATAATGACAGTTGTAAATACTTAAAGGTTTCCAAAACATTAATTTAATTTTTTTTAATAAAAAAACACTTACTTCAAGCTCACAAAAAATAAATAAAACGGTCCAACCAAGACCTGCCTAAAAAAATCAGACATATATTCCACATGCAGATGAATGCAAGTAAAAATGCATTAATGGTTAAAAAGTTACAAACTCAAAAAACAAAACAAAAAACAAACTGACTGAAAAAATATGCCTACATGTTATGAAATAACCCCAGAGTCCAACATGTCTGGGAGGGTTACATGGCATTTTCCAGTATTTTATTCACACTGCTGTTTGTGCCTCTGATGGTTGGATGACCATCCACAGCTGCAGTGCAGTCACCTCAGTCCAGACCTCAGACCTGTGTTCTCAGAGTGAGAGTGAATAAGAGAGCAGAAGAACATCTTCTTCTATCGATCCTCCTGAGATCCTCCCCCTCTCTTCCTACAGTGCACTGTGAAAAGCCGACCTGAAATGAAATGAATATTGGCCTCGTCGTCCTGAAAGGTTTTGTCCAATTGCTCCATCTGTTTATGTGGCTTCGCTGCGAGTCTCACGTCCTCCTGATTCCTCCCCCTCTCCCCTCCCCCTCCTCTTTCTCCTCTGGTACAAGTGAGGTTTTTGTGTCAGAGGCTATTTTCGATGCACAGCCACTGACCCTTCTGCATTTACAGAGGTGAGAGAGGAGGCTGTAATGGAGAGGTCACCTGATTATGTTTGAAACAAGAAGACCTCGTGGATCACGGCGCTGTCTCTGAGCTGGTTTATTCTGCAGAGATGAAACATTTCTGTTATTTTATCTACTGAACTTGGTCCTAGCCCCTTATGTTTCCACCCTATAAATTACAATTACATTTGTTGGATTGGATAGAAAGTGCATTGAATGGTGATAGCAAAGAAGTTTGACTAACGTTTACAGAATGTTTTTTATATATAGTCCTCACAGTGTAACTGATTACAACACTCTGCTCCTGATCACTGTAAAAAGGATAGGAGAAAGGATACTAAGGAAAACCAACACCTTTGATGCTAACTTAGCATGAATCTTAATGCTAAGTTAGCATCAAAGGTGGTTGGTTTTGATTTGGTTTGGTCTGAATGTAAGGAGTTATGTGCCGTACATTATTAAATGTAAAAGAATATATATTGGAAGAAACTGTGGGGTTTCCAGAACACCATCAAATCTGGAGGAGCTTGAATGCATCACCAAATAATCGATCTCTGGAGAACTTTGTCTCACAAAAATGCTGCAGCCGTAAGACCTTGGTATTTTATTTTTTATTTTTTTCAAGTTTTAGCAATAAGGTTAATATGTTCAGAAATACTGTTGAGAAGCAATTCTCTAAAAAGTACTTGGAGTAATACTTAGATGAGAAAAAATAATTTCCTTATGGGGGCTAATAATTTAGTCTTTAGCTGTCTGAGCTGCAGCTCACCAGAGTAATGCCTCCTCTTCTCAGAGCTGTCACGGTCACAGCTTGTTTAGCTGCGTCTCTGCTGCATTTGAGGCACATGATGCAAGAGGATGTCAGACTCTTGGTTTTTACCTCTCTGTCTCTGGAGCACTGTGTAGGAGTGTGTAAGAGTGTGTGTGCATGCATGTTCCAGTGCGTGAGCGCACACCGTAGGTGTGTGTGGGAGGTGGATTCTGTTGAATGGGCATCTATAGTTGTTGTGTGTGTTTTTTTTTCACAGGCAAAGATGCAACATTGAACGACTGTGAGTGTGTGTCTAAGATGAACATGCTTCGTTGTGGGTGCAGATAAAGGTCACAGGACTCGTTTGTGTGTCATGAGCAGGAAGCTCAGGAAGTCACCGTCGTCACCCGGCCCAGACGAGGCAGACGTTCTCTGACTCCTGTCCTCACTCTGAGTTTTTCCTCTCATGATCAGCGGCTTCTTCGTGTCCCACAGTCTCACAAGGCAGACATTAAGAAAAGGACGTAGGCGTTTATTAAGTTGCATTTAAGAAGTGGAATTCACCAAAAGATGAAGATGACATTTCAGCATTCGAACTTTTTTTTTCTTCCTTTGCTAAAGACGTGTTAGTGCTGGCACTGCGTGTACTGGAGAAATGAATGTGTGAATGTGACACTGGCACTGTGATGGGTTTTCGTGAGCAACTTTTTGGGCAGCTAAAATAAAGCGCAATTTTTCTCTCTCTTTCATGATGTGTAAATATTATGTAAGCTAGTTAAACAAAAATGTCTGTTAAAATGTCTTTGGAGAAATATTTAGTCCAGGATGATTCTAGTTATGTTAAGTTACAGGAATAAGAAAAGGTATGAACTAAGGTAAAAGTCACTAGTACAACTGTTTTGTTCTACAAACAAAAAGTCAAAATAGAAAAGTCGCATTTCCTCAGAGTACTTTTACTCTCTTGAATTTATTTGAATTCTTGGTCAGTTGTGACATAATTAAGTCAGAATTTTGTTTTTATAGTCAGACAAAACCACACTAAGAGACAGTAGTCATAAAAAGTCCTCCCACACCTGAGATTATGAACCTCTCGTCGTGTCAATCCCATTTTTTATTTTCTTTTTCTGTAATTATTACTGTATGACATCACACTACAGAAACAGCTCCTGCTGATAAACTCTGACTCTCTCTCTGTGTGTGTGTGTGAGTGAGTGAGTGTGTGAAGGGAGTAGACTTGTAGAGCTGCATCCGGAGACCTCATCCCCCTCATCCCGACAGGATTACTGACACAGGATCTCCCTGCCCCTGGCAGAAATAGCAGGGACCCAAGGGCAATCCAGCAGAATATGGGAACTTCTGTGTGTCGGTGTTGTGTGTTGGTGTAGGCCGACTGTATGTGGGTGTTGTGGACGTTTTCTGTGTGTGGTTGTTTGGGCGGGGGTCATAGTTTGTGTGTTTACATGGGTGTTAGCTCTTCAGATGGAGCTTGTTTCCTCCCAGGTGCTGAGCTCCATGACTCATAAACTCACTGCTATCTCTCTCTCTCTTTCTTACCTACTATCTGTGCATGACTTTAGAGTAAACAGATTTTTTTTAAGGCAGAGTTCAAGGGTATTGGTATGGATTCAAGTCTTTACCCTTCCCCCTGAGTTTTAACGTTTAGAACCAGAAATAAACCTGTGTAAAATGAGACCGTTGGACACCAAGAGTTGTCTCAAACAGGACTGCTTTAAAAAGTTTCTTTCGTATATATTGCTCTTTAGCTTTTTGCTACTTGGCTTTGAGCTTGAGTAGCAAAAGTAGCATTTGCTAGTTTTATGAAACGTTGGGTCCAACAGTTCACAAATAACAGAATGAACACAAAGTAAAGCTTTTCTTAACAATAATAACTATAAAATTAAATTAAAATCACAGTATGGTAAAGCTAAAGTTTGAAGTC